TGGTTAGCATTTATCATCCGTATTACTGCTACTACTAGTATTAGTATTGTTTCTGCCAGTACTCCTCCTACTCCTACTCCTACTCCTACTCCTCCTACTACTACTACTACTACTACTACCACCCGCTGACCACCCGTATTCTACCATCACCCGTGCGAGTACTAGTGGTCGTCTGAACCGGCACCGCAAAGTCGCTCGTATGAAAGCTTGCGAGGGACGCCCTCGAGAAGCACGCGGCAGCCCTGAAGTTGCTGGAGGAGGTCTTGGAAGCTTGAGGGGCATTTGGCTCCGGCCGACTTGGGCTTTGGAGAATCCTCGGGGTGCGGGTGCAGCGGAATCTTCGGAACTGAGGATGTGAGTGCATGGCCACGTGCAGCAAAAGCCAGAGAGCACATCATGAAGCGAAGCTTGTCTTGGCGAGCTGCTTGGAGGCCTCTGCGTCTCTTCGTCGATTTGGAGAGGTGGGATGCTTGAGCTCCAGCAGTGACGACTTCAGATGTCCTGAGTGGCCTCGGAGCAGTCAAATGCGATGTGGAAATTTATGCGGGGCAGCCTTTTGACAAACCAAACTCGTCATGGGAAGCTGTTGTCCGGTCATATGAAGTCGAGAGCAGTTGAAAGTGCGGCGAGCGCCGGTGACAGCTCTGCGCGCAAGTCTGCGGCCTGTTGCTTTTGCATGCTTTTGCCAGGAGTCGCGAAACTTAGCCGGGAGCCTGGGCTTGGTTTGTCGCATCGCCGTGGGAGGTCGACGATCACCGGCCCCCGAGGTCGAGTGCCAAAGAGCCTCGGAGGCTTCGCTCCGGCGGGTGCATCGTGCACTCCAAGGGCTGAGGCGCCGCCAAAACGCGCGAAGCCAGCTTCTGCTCAACAGTCTATCCAATGCAACACTGATTGCTGCAGGCAACTCTTGGGACAGACCTCTGAGTGAGCTGCGCAAAGGTCGCAAGCCGGAGCAAAATGGCATGACATCTGGGGTTTTCGAGCATGGCTTCGCCGAGTAAGTCTAGAATCTAGAAACCTTGTGCAACATCTCAACACATGCAGAAGTTACTACAAGCGCAGCCAATTTAGCGGGCCATGTTTTTGCCACATCTCGGTGGGCTTGACTTGCATCGGCCGTGGCTGCAGGCGGTGTAGGAGTATGTGCTCATTTGTGGTGCTTGGGCTCGCAGAATAGCTGTTTCTCATGGAGCGCTTGGGAGTGAGTGGCCTTGGCCATGGTTGCAGATCAGTTTGGCTTGGAGGCCAGGCGGCCGACAAGCAGCGTACCTAAGGACCTGCTTGCAGCAGATTTCCATCTCGTCAGGTGGCGACCACCAGGCCGGCCTGTGCCAAGGCAGTGGACTCTTACTATGAGGCGTGACCCGCTGAGACTGAGGTAGCCCAGAGATCGCATGATTCTGAGATTTCGCAAGTAGTCGCCGTCACTGCCGATGGAGGCAGTTCTTGCATACCAGCCCTTTCGATCGTGGTCCGCGGCAGCCGACGAGGTGCCAGAGCTACGCCTGGCCGTTTTGACGTCAACTCTTTGAGGCCATGCGAGAAGATGCTGCGTGCCCGATGGCCCGGGTGCTCGCTGCCGACTGCGCCTTTTGCCAAGGCGATGCGGCCAAAGCCAAGGAGCGATTGTACTCGGATCTGGGAGTTTCCCAAAATTGGGGGTACCTTATTTTGGGGGTCCGTATAATAAGGATCCTATTATTTAGGGTACTATATTAGGGTCCCTATTTTCGGAAACCCCCATCTAGCACGAGGGTTAGCTGCTAGCCTGCGAAGAGCAGGCCCATGCCTCTGCGGTGTGCTTCTTTGCGCGAGGACCTTCTGGAGAACTTGAGCAAAGAAGTCGAGGCCTTCAGATGTTGGACCTTGACATCGAAGTTGCCTCTTAAGCCTCCTTCAGCGGCCCGCTTGAACGAACAGACGTGTGGGTGAGGCAGAAGTTGCATCTTCGTTTAGACGTGGCTCCGCAAGAACTCCGGTGCAAGATTCTGATCAAGTGGGTGCGTAGCAACACCCCATCCACTCCTGAAAGATGCACGCCTATGTGCTTGCAACCGGGCGGAAGCTTGCCGCCGTCAGGGTGCATCCGGTGTGTGGTCCTGGCGCGAACTGCGATATGTGGAGGCCGAGTGTGTTGTTGCAACCACTTGATTGGCGAGAGCAGATGAGATCGCGAGTTTTGTCCAGTTGCTGGGACCTCACAGGCAGACAGACAGAGACAGATTGAGACGGACAGATAGACACACGCCTACATTGCCTACCTGCTGCGAGAGATGGGGACAGAGACACACAATCAGAAGAAAAGGCAGAGACGGCCGAAGAGTATAGTGCAGAAGCTGTAGCAAGGGGCCCCTGTTTGAGGCTATACGGCACGACGTACCGTGCATCTTCAGGGGTTGTGCGAGCGCGTAAACCGTGCAGTCTCATATGCTGAGTGGCTGTCCAGTCTCGCTGGAGATTGCCCACGGACCGCGCAAGGGGAAAACGGCCCTTTTGAGTGTTTCTCTGCGAGCGTGAGTTTCTGTGCGCCGGGGATCTCGCCAAAACGCGAAGGCCTGGTGTCGCTGGGTACTTCATAGCGACCCTGCAGGGTGCTACGATGCACTCAGCGAGGCTCCTTGGCTTTCGTTTCTCGCACAGCTACACAGCTACTCCACTCAGGTGCACGCGTGCCTGCAGTTTACGAAATCGACATGTCAAGCTCGCATTTTCTCCTCGGTGCTGGGAGGTCGTGTCACGGCACCCTAGCGACCTGTTTGCAGAGCCTTGGCCGGCATGAATCGGCCATGATGTCATGGAGCGAAAATCGCTCCTGTCTGTCTGGCGCTATGGTTGCCCTTGAGGTAAAGCGTGGGCACATCATGGGCCTGATTCTGGGCGATGGTTCCAGGATGTTGTCGATTGTACAGCTGCATGGCTGCATATGCCTGCTTTGAGATCACGGAAGAGACTGTGAGAGCGGGTCTTCTGAGCAAGAATTCTGAAATTCACGAAGTGGAGGCCGGCAGCAGACAGTGAATCTTGGACTGCACCGGCATGGTCATGTTTCTCACCCGGCCAGCTATGCTCGTCTGACCGAGGCCAAGACGACCCCACCTCCGAAGTACTTGCACGGGATGTGGTCCTTTGCCCTGGAGCAGGAGGGCCAATACAAGGAGTGGGCCCTCACCAGACTCGGGCTTCAGGAACCTTGCAGCATTTGTTTGCTAGGAGGCAGAGCGCATCGCTTGGGAAGGCTTTAGCTTCGAGAAGGAGCTTGGGCCGGATGCCTGGCTGGACCACAGCTTGGCGCACTCTCTCTACTTCCAAGGCCACACGCTGCAAGAAGCGAGCTTTTTGTGTGACCAAGACTCGTGTGTTCGTTCTTATGTATGTATGTATGTATGTATGTATGTATGTATGTATGTATGCATGTAGGTATGTCTGTATACATAGTATACATGTATATATGTAATGTAATGTAATGTAATGTAATGTAATGTAATGTAATGTAATGTAATGTAATGTAATGTAATGTTCTGTTAGTATGTCCGTCTGTCTGTCCGTTCGTCTGTCTGTCTGTCTGTCTGTCTGTCGGTTGGTAAGTATGCAGGGTCTGTATTGAGGGAGCTGCATGTGCGACTTGTACCCCTCCGAGCAGTTGTTGCAGGGATGGGCCGCTTGGACGATGCCATGTCTTTCATGAAGAAGCGCAGCGAAACTTGGCCCAAGGAGGCCGGGCCTTAGAACGGCCAACTGCAAGTTCCACGCGCCGAATCCGTCAGGACCTGCACCCGTTTCTGTACACTCATTGTTGGTGGCACCTGGCTCTCTTGCGCCTTGCTTTGTAGATTCTCGTCCATCAGTTTGCTACCGGCACGGACCACATGCCCATTGCGCAGGTACACCGAAAGTCGCAACTTCGAGCCTGCGCTGACCATCTTTGACGCAGCTCGTCAGCCAGAGGAAGAGTCAGAGCTGGTATATATATATATATTTATATGTGTGCACCGGAAGCTGGCTCCTAGGAGCGACTCTGGCCCGAAGGCCCAGAAGGTCTGGCCCAAGGCGGCGATCCTCAGGCACGCGCTTCCAATTTGGGAGCCCTTGGATTCGAAAGAAGTAGCACCGCAGCTCCGCAGGTGCAGCTGAATGCGCTGAATTTGCCGCTTTGTGCAAAGCCTCCATCTGATGGAAGTGTTTGGTGCCGTGGCTGAAGCACGCGATCTCAGGCTCTGGCGGCTGGAAACACGGCAGCAGGCCTTTGCTTTGCAAGGTTGCTAGTCCGCTGGCCCGGATCGCCCACGGTGCGGGCGGGTGTTCATGGACAGAAGTAATAAGGGCATCCAGGCGAGTATGCTTCAGCCGGAGATAGTTTCTGGTAATTATTCGGTCAAGCTACGCCCCTCACCATCGCACAGTGAAAAACACACATCCTGGAGCCTCTGTGTTCGAGCATGTTACCTTCGATTCACTGAGCTGATGACTGGGCACCACTCGTTGGGGAGTCTATTTCCCGCAGCATTTCCTCGGCCGGAATGCAAACGGCACTGTTTTCCTGGCTTGTTCAGCCTCACTGGCAGGCAGAGGCAGCTGAGCCACGTTGGCGGCGCGTACTGCAGGGCTGCAAGGGACTCTCGTTGCCAAAGGACGGGGCCAAGGGCTCCTCTGCTGCACAGGATATGCATTGGATATGCGATACCATTTGGATCCTTGGATTTGCTACAGCGACCTGACTGTGGGACTATCTATTGGTGAGGAACTGCTTTATGCAAAGTCGTTCTATGAGTGCAGACTGCCCATAACATTTTACCCAATGCCGCGGCTGGCGATAACAGGAGGAGCTGCATTGGCCCGGTTGGTTTTCGCCTTGAGCAGACTGTCGGTGCACACCGCTCCGGCACGACAAGGTACTCTGCAGCATGGCGACCTGTTGTTGGACATTCTTTTGATTCGTGGGCTATGTGTCGGTGCCATGGAGGACGCTGTTCAGAGTTGAACTCGTCACATCTTGCCGGCAAATTTTCGTCGGACGTTTGCAGGTGTACCAAGTCAAGCCAGACCGATTCAGGTAGGGTGCAGCAGCTCAAGCACACGCACAGAGCCTCCAGGACGCCAAGCCGCTGGATGAGTTTCTCACGGCCGTGAAGAAGCACTCCGAGGACGGGTGCCTGGTGCGAGCCTTTGCTCGGGGAGCGCAGCCTGTTAAGGTCGAAAATGTCGAAAGACAGTTGCGAGAGTCAGGAGATGGCGGCAGGGCCCGGTGGCGCTGGTGGGCGTGCAGAAGCGTACAGGGACATCGCGCAGTCCGTAGCAGAGCTTTTCCGTCGGTGCCTTGGTGGAGCCGCACGTGACAGCTCGGGGTTTCGGGGCGGCTGCAGACCGGGCGAGGCTCCGACTTGGCCTCTGCGCAGACAGCAGAGAAGCGGTCGAAGGTTCGACGGAGCTGAGACTTGAGTGGTTGTGCTGTCACTTTCCTGGCAGGCGCGCAACTGCATCCTGGAGCTGAAGCCTCACTGGGGCTGTCTCGGAGGAAGCGAAGAGCAGCGAGGAATCCTCCTTGAGGCTGGGAGATCTGTGCTTCCGGCAAAAGTCTCCGTTGGCTAAGTGGCGTCTGTTCTGGAGGCTGTGAAAGGACCGGTAGTGTGCGGAAACCCGCAGGAAGAGGGCAGCAGCAACGGCGGCTGTTACCTACTGTAGTCAGGACATGCTCTGTTTCGCATGCAACCTCGATGAAGCCCCATCTGCGCACATCAGTACCGAAGTTAAGGACAGCGTAGATACTGGCGAAGGCACAAGTCCCTTTGCCTAGTTTGCTAGAGCCTGAGTCATGTGGACATGCTCTTGACAAAGCGTCCTCGGGTTTGCTCTAGGCTCGACGTTTTAGGGCCATAAGGTTGAGAGATTTAGGACCAGAGAGCTCCATGCGTGGCATTGTCAAGATCGATTCAAAAACAGTTGTTGAGAGAAATGAGCATGGCTACTGGAAGGGTCAGGGTCTCTGTTTCCTGTGGACCTGGATGGATGCGGCAATTCTTCCTTTGCATGACACTGTCGCCTGCCAAGGTGGAGACATGGCTCAAAGAAAGGAATAGGACAACGTAGGACGCGAAATGACCCACCCCATGGGTCTTCTAATATGGAGTGTCTGGGGTATGCGGCTCGCTGCCGGCGCCCCGCACCTGCACGCGACTCTGGATTCAGCTGGTGGAGCCTTGTCATGTTTAGATGTTCGAGCTCGTCGACGGAGACAAGGGTTAGAACCCTGCGCCGCGACATGAAGAACTGAGGAACAGTCGACTTCAGTAGTAATCTCCGTGGATAGCCTCCCTTGAATCGACCCGGTTCATTTGGCATTCGGGTGGGTTCGACTTATGCTCAAACCTGGCCTGACGTCGAGAGCGAGTGCCGAAAAAAGTAGACGTGTTTTGGGCTGGCTGGTGCCCATGAAGGCTTTGCAGTGACGTTCGACGGCTTGCCTTGGTTGGAGGGCGGCGAGGCCGCAGCCACGTGTGCTGTAGGAGAGCGATGAGGGGAGCCCTTTCGGCCAAAACGATCATAATATGATATAACAGAATACAATACAATATAATATAATACAATATACTATAACATAACATAA